ACTGGGGAGGGGGAAGGGACAGGGTGGAACAGGTCATTGGGGAGAAAAAGGGACATCTGTAATATTTTAAACAAAAATAAAATTTAAAAAAATAAACATTAGCTGTTATTATTTTGCTAATGCAGACAGTTAGGACTCCCCAAACCCATTCCTCAAAGGACTTCTGAGAACTGGAGCTGAGAAAGAATCACAGGGTCATTGGGCTCAGGGTGCTGTCCATCACACTCACTCTACCAATAAACCAAGGGCAAGGCATGCCTCAGACTAGAAAGTGACCTGGAAGGCAGAGGGCACAGAGAGAGAGAAAGAACCAAGGCTGGGAGGGAGGAAAATACACTGAGGACATATTCAGGAAGCAGCAAGCCTAGAGGTCTTTATTTAGGGGAAGGCCTATTATGTGACAAGAGTCATTCTGACTCTTGCTCCAGAGAGCGTACAAGATGGGACTGGTGGAGAGAAGTTTCCAGCTCAGTTACAGAGATGGAATGGGCTTCCTTACAGTAGTGAGCTCCTGGGCACCTGTGCTTCCTGTTTTGAGGGGTTTCGAGCAGAGGATGGAGGGCCACCTTTCCTACCTTGCACTGTGTGGCCAGGATTATCTCTGAAGTCCCAATGAGCCACTGAGCTATGTGATGTGGTGGAACCAAAAATGTACAAGATGGGGAAAGGGGAAGGAGCAAAAAACTGAGTACCAGCAGATGAGGCTGGAAGGGGCTTGCAGTTGGCCATTAAGCTTCATCCCTTTGGATTACAGATTGTCCATTACAGAAATGTAAAGAATGACAGATAGTCCTATCAGCCCTTTTCATTTTAGTATAAATTAGATACACAGATCATTTCCTCCATGACAGTTGGCTGATGATAGAAGACAGAAGATACCAAGTGAAGAGAGAGAAGGATACGGAGAGTAAAGTGGGCAGGGCTCTGAGACAAACTTCATTAATCTCAATTTTGCCAAGGAGTAGCCCTGGTAGCAACCTGCAATGAAAAAATACTCAGTGGGAAACTTTTGCCATTATTTATTCATTTCAGCAACCAACTACAGAGTACCGACTGTGTGCCATGCTGTGTGCAGGGCACTGGGAACATCAAATGAGTCAGACCCAGTGCCAACCCTCTCAGGCACCCAGACCTATGGGAGACAGGCATGAAAATCATGATCATAAGCCAGCACGACCAGTGCCATGATAGAGGAATGTGCTCAAGCAGTGGGTGAGACTTCCCATCAGCTGCACCCCAGGCTTTTCTCTCAAACCCCTCTTTCCCCTGGGACAAATAGATTAATATGACACCCATTTCACAGACAGCAAAACAGAGGCCCAAAGAGCTTGAGTAATCTTTTTGGGATACAGCAGAGTCAGAATTAGAACAACAAGTGACTCCAGAGCTTGGCAAATGTATGTTCCCCGGGGTCAGCGCCCGGAACATCCCTCAGCCCATAGCCTCTCCCCTCCGTGGGCTGGCCTGCTCCCCTCCCTCCTTCCTCTGCTGCCTCTCAAGGGCAAGGAAGACGAAAGATGACTGTTGGGTGAGGGTCTGTCTGGGGCTCTGGGCAGGCGGGTAATTAGGCTGAGAGAAGCCATCTGCTCCAGGCCCCTGGGGTCTTGGGCACGCTGGGGCAGCACAGCTGCTCCCCCCCGGTCGTGCAGGCCGCTCTCACGGTGGAGTCCCGACGTGCAAAGGGTTTAAACATCTCTGGTCCTGAGAAGGCCTGACCGCCTCCCAACAGCAGGGCTTTGGGTGAAGAGCCAGGGGCTTGGTCAGGTCTTTATTTCCTTGTCTGGGTGCCCTACTTTTTTGGGGCCCAGGGCCAGGGCTGCAGGGATGGAGGTAGGTGGGTGGGGAGGGTAGGCACAGGTCAATCATCAAGCTGCAGAGATGGGAGAGATCTGGGCCAGCACCACATGGGCCCTTCCTCTCTCTAGAAGGATAAGATGAGGCCCAGGGAAAGGGAGGGAGTGGACCAAGATTCCACAGGGAAACACTATTTCATCCTTTGCTGGGACCAAAGAGGGAATTGGGGGTTAGGGGGTGGTCAGGCTGAGCTCCAGAAGCCACAGCAGAGACAAATTCCTGCTGGGGGGATGGGAGGCTCTTCCTGGATGAGGTGGCATTTGAATGGAGCCTTGAAGGGTGCTGGGGATTCCGTGTGAATCAAACCAGCGACCAGAATCAAACCAGGGACCCTTCAGTCCTCAGGCCGACGCTCTAACCACTGAGCCAAACCAGCCAGGGCACATTTCAAATTCTTTAAACTCGCATATGGGCCAGACTTGTCCTATGGCCTCCAGCCTACAACTCCCAGCCAATTTGCCATGTCCAGATAATCCCTGCTCTCCCCACCTTCTCTTGGCCTTTGAAGAAGGACCGCCAGAGGGGCTGCGGGTCCTGCTTCAGCCTTCCTCCTGCCCAAAAGGGACTGACTGGTGACAAGAGCCAGTCAGAGCTCAGAAGCTAGGAGGGGGCAGGAGCTCCTGACAAAGGAGAAAGTAGGTGAGCAGCCATCAAACCCCATCTGCAGCTAGTGTATGGGATTGATGGATTTTAATTACATCTCATTCTAATCCTTAACATTTATCTAAAAAGTGACGAGGGCGGGCAGGAGGGCGGGTCACAAGTGTGCTCAGCCCCGGGATTGCAGTGTGTCTAATTAGAAGTTTTCTCCCTCCCGATCACCTAAAGTCAAATTCATTTACTCTGCTCGAATTGAGGGTTTAATTGGATTCTTGTTTTCCCTCCTCCTGCCTTCTCCCCAATCTCCTCTGCCTTCTCTCCGTGTGGGAAGCAGGCCACAGCATCTCGTTATAAGAGAACATCCCTTTAAGGACCCCCGTTTAGGACTGTCTGTGCCAGCCCTCAGAGCAGCAGCAGCCACTCAGGGACCCAATTAGTATTAAGGCCATCGTGATTTAGACCCTTGTGATGATGTCGGATGGGCACTGGGTGGCCCTGGACAACAGTGGGTCTCTAGGTCCAGGTTTCTAGGTCCACCCCCGCCCCCCTGTGCTAGCCCAAGAGGACCTCTGTCCTCGCAATCCATCCTGTGCCTGAGTGGGCTTAATAATCCGGTCCTGGAAGAAAAGTGGTGGAGCACAGCAATTAGAGGCCGAGCCAGCTACGTCTGGGGACATCGTGGAGGCACTAAAACCACTAATTCTTTTGCCAGATAATGAGGTTTCTTTCCCTTTTTGTCACCCCTCTCTCCCCTTGTTAATTAACACCCAGCGCAGCAGTTTCTCCCTGGCTGATGGGTTGGTAATCAGAGGGGAGAGAAGGCAGGAGGCAGCAACCCACTTACCAGGAAAGTCCTCTCCTCTGGGTCCAGGAGGGAGAAGGGGAGGCACAGACACAGCACAGAAGGTCCAGGCACCAATCCCGCTGTGTGCCAGCCGGAGACAGCATCTTACAGAGCGGAGATGGCCTGGAACCCAGCTCAGCTGCATACAAGTAGCCTGGGGAATGTGATCCAGCCACTCGGAGCCTCAGGGTCCCCACTGTGACACACGGTTAACAGATTTCTGTGGAGACTCAACGTGTCTAACGTGCCCTGAGAACCCACCACAGGCAGATAACAGAACACTGTGCTGTGTTAGGTTGTTTTAAGCACTGAACAAGGCACCTGGCACACAGCAAGAGCTCAGGAAATAATCACCATTATTACCCTTTGACCTTGAGCAAGTTAGCAAACCTCTCTGCGCCTTGGGCTTCCCCATCTGTGAAATGGGGCCAATCACTGCCCCCTTCCTATTCCTTGTTGTGAGAAGCACTTTGTTCCATTCACGTTAGGAGAACACATATGTTGGTGATGATTACCTAGTAGCTCTCTGGACTTGGGCAAGCCGCTTAACTTCTCCGGCCCTTAGTTCTTTTATCTGCAAAAAATAAATAAAAGATTAAAAAACGAACTCCATCTGTCCTGTCTACATCCCAGGGTTGCTGTGATAATTAAATGGATGGTGTTGATGAAAACATTTGGTGATCTGTAAGTGCTCTACAAATGTTAACTGTTAGCATCACTCCATTGGAAGGTAATTAGCTGGAAAATAAAGGGAAAGACTCAAGTCTTTCCCATACAAACTGTACTGCTGGGTACCCAAACTGTAGATGAGGGACACTTCTCTCTTTAGAAGTACCCAGCTAATAAATAAGGAGGGGGTGATAGGATTAGAATCTCACCATTTTGCAGCTCCTAAGGGATTAATGGATCTAGATATTGAACAGCCGCAGCTGCTAACATCCCCAGACTGGAGGCGTTATGTGTGGGCATTATGTGCCTCCTGACGGAAACACGAGGTTGTCTCACTATAAAAAACCAAACTTGAATCTGCTCAAGCTTCAAAGGCTAATTGTCAATTTACCATAAATACAGAGAACAGAGGAATGATTTAGAAGACACCAGTGAAGTCCACCCTGGGATAACACAGGTCAAACATCTGGTTTCTTTTAAAAAGTGTTTTGTTTTGTTTTGTTTTTAAAGAGAAAAGTATAGCCACTTTGGAAGAAAGTTTGGCAGTTTCTTACAAAACTAAACATACTCTCACTATATGATCCAGCAACCTTGCCCATTGGTAGTTATCCAAAGGCAGTTGGAAACATGTCCACACAAATTATGGAGAACAAGTGTCAGGAGACCTTCTCCTTCTCACTGTTCAGGACAGTACAAGTGCTGTTGGCCTCAAGGATCCCAAGCCTGCGATGCTGGCTCAGACTTGGTGCTCAATTAAAAGCCTTTGGCCTTGATCCTGGGGGCTAGGGGTGTGTAGAATGGGTGGGGAGGGGGAAGGGCTCCGTCCCTCCAACCCGGCAGCGCAGGAAGAGGGCTCCTGGTAGGCTCCACGGCTGACATGCAGTATAACCAGGCTACACCATCCCGCCTACCTGCCCGCACCCAGCCTGGGTGACTGGGTGCCGAGTGAAGACAAATGATCGTGCTCCTTCGCTAGACTGGAGCTGCCGGCCGCAGGGTAGGAGGGCTCTGTGGGGGGAGATGCTCCTATCCACTCGTTCAGGTTCTAGGCTTCCTTTCTAGCAGGAGGGCGGGGGGTGCAGGAAGTGAACTTTAAACACAAGTAAATAATTTATGTAGAATATTAGAAGGACAAGAGTGCTAGGAGATACAAGGAAAGTCAGGCAAGAAAAGGAGATGGAGTATGGGGGAGGGGGTGCCTACAACCCCACCCCCTTGCCTTAAAAGTTCTCCATAGCACTGGCGATCATCTAACTATATCTCTCACTCATTTATCTCTTTAGCGTCTGTCTCTCTCCCTCCACTCAGATGGATGCTCCATGGGTCAGGAGTTTTGCCTGTTTGGTTCACAGCTGTTCTCATGTAAGTGCTCCGTAAGTATTTATCACATGAATGAAACAGTCTGTGTGCCTGGCATCCCTCCTGATGTCCCCTGCCCTCCCTCTGGGAAGGGAGTTTATTTTGGCAGCTGCTGCTCCCCTGCCCTGACCACCCCAGGCACCAGCCGGGAGCCAGATTGGCTCCCACTCACCCCTTCCCCAGGGAACGTGGATGGTGGTTCTGCTTCCTGCCCTACAGTGGATGGGCCGTGCTGAGGCTGGGGCCTTGGTCCTTAGTCTTGGAAGACATTCATGACACTGGCTAAGAGTTCAGAGGCCCCTTCACTAACTGTAAAGCTCCCCAAACACTGTGGTTTAGGGTTTTTTACGGAGGTTTCATTATGGAGACGTGATTGATTAGATTGTTGGCCATTGGTGATTAGCTCGATCTCCAGCCTACCTCCCTCCCCTCCACAGTCTTCTAATCAAGGCTTGGTCTTTCTGGTGACCAGCCCCCATCCTGAAGCTATCTAGGGGCCTGCCAAGAGTTGCCTCATTAGAGTAAAAGACTCTCCTAGCGCCCTATCACTCAGGAAATTACAAGGGATTTCAGAGCTCTGTGTCAGGAAGCAGGGACAAAGACTACATGTCTTTCTATGATGCTACATTAACCAAGCCCCCACTGCTGGACATGTAGGTGACTCTGGATGTTTCATTCTTGGAAACGGAGCTGCAGCAAGCATCCCATGGCCTACATCCAGCGCTCACTCTGAGTCTGATGTTTTACACATGTCAATGTGGTCTCTAGGCTTCTGTGAGATCTTAAGCAAGTCCATTCCCCTCTCTGAGCTTTAGTCTCCTCCATACAATGAGAGGACAAGATGGTCTCAGAGGCCTTTTGGGCCCCCACCTTGTGGCAAAGCTCTGTAAACACCCTACAGTATAGAAGAGAGCATACAGAGTGGGGGCTCTGACATCTCACAGCCTGGACTGAAATCCTAGCTTTGCCAGATACTAACTATGTGACCTTTGGCACCTGCAGACCCTGTACCCCCTTCTCCTAAACTCAGGATGGCATATAAGCCTTTTTCCTGATGGGCTGTGGGTCTCATATTCTTGTGGGGCCCCTATACGTATGTAATTAAATTTGTTTTTTCCCCTCCTGTTAACCTGTCTTGTGTTCATTTGATTATTAGACCAATCAAAGAACCTGGAAGTATAGAAGGAATTTTTTTCCTCCCTAACAGTTCTCTGTGCCTCAATTTTCCTCATCCATGCAATGGGAATAATAGTAATGCCCACCTTGTGGGGATGAGGGAGGAAGCCAGGAGATAGCCCCGGCCGGCTCCTAAAGGTGCATTGTTGTGATGAGAAGATTGGTTTTTCAGTCTTTATTTCATCAGCCATAATGACACTGTCCCTGTCTTACCAAGGAAACAGGCTCAGAGAGAGAACATGACTTGTGCAGGTCACATTGCCAGCTCAGGCATGTGGGCAGGGTTATCCATGCCTCCCAATTCAGGGTTCTCTGCATCTGGAAAGCAGGCCCCCAGTGGTGGCCCAGCCCACGGTGGCTTAGGGGACCATGGAGACCGTGTGACAGAGAATCAAGCCAGTGGTTCCTCTGCCCCCCCCCCATATTGGAACCCCAGGCCCTACACAGAGGCACCTCTTTTAAAGGGTGAACATGGGTGAGTCAGAGGAGGGGCAGGAGCAGCCCACACATGTCAGGTTGTCAAAACCAACACCAGGTGCTGCTGAGTTCAAGGAGCCAGGGTGACTAAATGCTTATGTC